TAGTAGATCTGCCTGTTCTTCCCACTCTGTCTCTGGTGAAATCTCTTACCCCTCCCCTTCACCTCACCCCACACCTCTGGCCTGTACCTCAGTTCTTATATGCATAAATAAATTCTAAAAAAAAACCCTGAGAATTAGCTTGTAACACTATGCATGTTTCAGGTGTACTGAAACACCTAATTTGACAACTTAAAACATTATCTGACTCAATTCTTAGGACCTTCCTTCTCTTTTTGTTTTTATATAAAAGTCTTTATACCTTCAATTCACCTTCCCCAGCTGACTCCAAAAATCTAGTCATAATTCTAAACATCCAGAAGTTCTATCTCTAAACTTCTGTGTGTTCTATGATAGCTCTACTTAAAAAAAGTCTTTTCCCATAAAGAGATATCTAAAACTAAAATTAGCACAACAAAAAATAAAAGTTCATTAAAATTTAAAACTGCTGTGCACCAAAGATAACATCAAGAGAGTGAGAAGACATCCTACAGAATAGGTGAAAATATTTGTAAATCATGTATCTACTAAGTTTAATAGCCAGAATATATAAAGAACTTTTTCAAATCAACACCACCACAAAAACAACTCAATTTAAAAAAGAGAATTTAGATTTTTCTTTCAAGATATAAAAATATCCAACAAGCACATTAAAAGAAACTCAACATCATTAGTCATCAAGGAAATGCAAACCAAAATCATGATGAGATACCACTTCACACCCAACAGAATGGCTATGATTTTTTAAAAAAGGGAAATAACCAGTGTTAGTAAAGATGTGGAGAAATCAGAACCCATGTTCACTGTTGGTAAGAACATAAAATGGTATAGTCACCATAAGAAAGTTTAGCAGTTAATCTAAAAGGTAAACAGAATTAACTATATGACCTAGAAAGTCCTCTGCTGGGTACTTAGCCAAAATAAATGAAAACAGGGATTCGAACAGACACTGGTACACCAAAATTCGTAGCTGTATACACAACAGCCAAGAACTAGAAACAACTCATATGTCCCATCAACAAATGAGTGGATACACACTCATGCAACAGTATATACATATGATGGTGTATTATTCAGCTGTAAAAAGGATAAAGAACTTGCTCCTACAGGATGAACATGGAAGACTTTATGATAAACAAAAGGGCAAATACTGTATGATTCTATTTATATGAAATATTTAGAATAGGCAAATTCATACAGACATTAGAGGTTAGAGCAGTTAGGAGACATGGGGAGCAGAAAGATACTGCTTATAGATCCAGGTTTCTATTTGGACTGATAAAAAATTTGGAAATACAGTGTGATGATGGCTGTACAACACTGCAAATGTAATACATAGCACTGAATTGTATGCTTTGGAAATCTTTAACAGTAAATTGTATAGGTATTTTATAATTAAAAAAAAATGAAATGAGACAGAAACTAACCTTCTTTACTATAACCCTGAGCTGAAGTTCTAATTCTGAATTTCGTAAGTTATGTGATGTTAAGCAAGTTATTTAATTTCTCTGGGTTTCAATCTCTTCATCTATAAAACAAATATTATCTACTTCCCAGAGTGGCTGAAGACTAAATGATAGATCAAAATCACTCAGCACCGTACCTGTTACATAATAAATACTGGATGTTAGCTTTATTATTCAAAAATTATTGCTACTCATGAAGTAGGTGTCTGCAAGGCTGCTATAAATGGATATCCAAGACACCCCATGATAGTCCCTAGATAACCTTTGAAATAAAAAAATGAGGTCCAGCACTTAAGAGTCATACTCCTGAAAGCCTAGAAACTAGTGATTATACTAGAGTCAGTCTTCCTTGTATGACATTCAATGTATAAAATAAATGCATACCCAGAAAGTGAGAATCTCTTTTACTGAAAGGTGACAAGTAATATATTTGGGTACCTTCATTATTGTTTTCTTCCCACAATATTCACTTATAAAAATCACAAGAAATTGATGGTGGGAAGCCCACAGGGATTGCAACTGAGATGGAAAAAGGCACAGAATGATGTAAAAATAAACTATTATATTATTGTTTAAAAATCACAAGAAATTTAATTTCTTAGCAAATGTCATGGGTTAAGCCTTATTAAAGGTCTGAAGTGACAATCCTAACATCATAATGACATTATAAAGTGGCAAACCTTGTAATGTACAAAATAAACTATCTCAAAATGTCAAAACCACTGGGAAGTCTAGGAGTTGGAAGCTTACAGAGAATTGCTAAACAATCGTTGAGTAATCTTGCCTAACTTCTATAATGCATCTGGTTTTGATTAAAATTAGGCATTAAAAAATGGTCAAAGTAACTAAAACCCTAAAATTTTAGGGATTCCAAGATAACACATATCCTATACTGTGAATTAAGGCATTTCCATATTCCAAAATCTTTTGCAAAAAAATTCCCAAATGTCTTCAAAGTAAGGAAATCTTCTTGACATACACACAATTATTTGCATACACCAGAGACTCTGATCCAAAGAGAAAGAAAAGGTATAACCTCAAGTGGTCAAAAAGGTTTCAAAAAAGGCATTTCTTTACTAAGGCTAGCCAATACTCAGAAAGGGTCAAGTCATTCCAAAATGTGATGTTTACACAATACTGTGAATATAACTAAATCTGTTATGAGATGCACCTTAAGATCATATTTCATTCCATGTTGACAAAAGAATTTTTCCAAAGCCACTATATCCATATTAAAAGTACTAACCTCATTGTATGCTTGAAAAGCGAAGGATCTGTTCCAACACCCTTCGGAAAAATACTTTCCCTTCCCCGCAAAATCCTACTATAATAAGTGAGGATGGTTTAACATTAATCAGAAACACCTAAGTTAATTCCTTTAACCACAATTAACTCTTAAGAATCATGACAATAATGAAGAATAAAGGCTTCCACAATTAAATTCCAGAAATAATCCTTTTATCCCACACAGCTCCTTCATTCACCCACATAACACTAGGGTCATGCCTTCTCTCTAGAAGAAAATAAAGAGGTCTGGTGGCTGCTGTTCCTTTTTTCCTACTGGCCAGGTATAGCACAGCTTAAAATCAAGGGAATTCAGTCCTAAAAAGGAACTGATGCCATAGTTATCTAATTAAATACTGCTGGTAATAAATTAACCAAAAGCTAACCTTTCATACTTCTAACAGCCCATGCTAGTTAAGTCACATTACCAAAAAGTTTTAATAAACTGGTTCAAGTTCATTATTAGAATTTCAAAATGAGTGTGAATAAAAGGTTAAATGAAAGTAAACACTACCTGTAACAAGAAATAATATAAACTTCAATACCATTAATGAACACTTCAGTCAGAAGAAGTTTGATGCCCAAATCGACCTTAACCCAAGACCATTTTAAAATCATGCCTTTCGAATAAATACTGGATGGTTGCACTTATATGTGGAATATAGAGAAATCAAACTAAAGGTTAAGAAAAGTCAAAATTAGTACACTGACCAGAAATCTGAGGCGAACGACAAAGGAGGGGGCGCGAGTGGGGGCAAAACAGGTTAGGGATAAACACAAGGGAATGTGGTGATGATGACAGTTCAGGGTGATCTTTTCGCAGGAGAGTATGGGGAGGACAGCAATGTAAGAAAGAAATTTAATTAATAACAAAAGAAAGAAAATGATGGGCAAAAATCATGTCCTTTTTATATTCCTGCTGTTGTCACTGACCAGCTCACTTTTAATGTACAATCAAGTAATGGTGCTATGACATGAAATGCACTATAGAACAGCGTTTTCAAGGACAATTTCCTCTAGACACACTTCACTGAGTTCCCAAACTATTTGCCCAGCATTAGTAATACAGGACATCCATAGATTTTAATGAAATGGCATGGGTAAACCACGTAACTCAGGAAATCCATCAGCCAAAAGTTAGGTTTAACGCTGGAGCTCATGTGAAGCACAAGCAACGGCTCTAAGTATTAGTGTGTTAAAGTAGTAAGCCCTCCTATGCCCAAACTAGTTCAGCAGCTTACACATATATATGCCCACATTTTGAGACATCTAAAAAGGCAGGAACAAAACCAAAGTGTCATTTTTGCTATCCCCAGAAGCTGATTCTGTAGCTAAAATATTCTAACCTCTACACAGCTGTAGAGTGAACTCAGCAAAAGGTGGTTGAAGTGAGGACGGCTATATTACAACAACGATCAAATAAATTAATCTCAGCAAACTACTATTTACAATAAAGTAGAAGTGCGTTCCGTGTTAGAAAACTTTGAAAGCACTGATCCTACTGGCGTAAGTAGGACTCTTCTGTCTTTGTACTTTCATCCTACATGTTTTCCTTTACGTAAGAAGGATAGGAATTTGACTAGCCCACCCCGAAGACAAACTGGCCCAACACCCCCAAGCTGCAGCAAAAAGCCACGTTCTACTAGGGCAGACCGTTTCCCCACCCCTCGTTAAAATGATGCCTGTGACCACTGGAGACTTTCCCAGCAGAGCTCCAGAAACTTGCAGGTTTAAATGGCCAAATTGGAACCAACCAGGGCAGCTGTCATCTGAAACTCAGGAAAGCTGAGACCAGCCAACTCTGCTGAACAAGGAAGGGTGCGGAGAGATGTGGCGGGGCCCGTCGGAGGGAAGGCATTAGGCTCCCCTCCCCAACCCCCCATCAATTCTCTTTTCTGCAACCCCAGCGCCGCCATCCTGTTCCTGAATAATTAAACGGGCAGGAGAGGGAGAGAGGTGGTGGCCAGAAGGCAGTTTCTGGTCCGAGTTTCCCGAGCCCCCGCGATGGGGTCGAGAGGCCGTGGGCTACATCCCCCGCGGGTGGAGGACTTTTCTCCGGGCTGGAGAGAGAGGGGGCGACCCGCGGCCATCGGGGCGGCCGGAAGGGAAGCGCTGGGAGTGACGTGGAGGAAGGGATGACAAAGGGGTGCGGGGCCCCGACCGCGCGGCCCGCGAGCCCGGAGGGGCCGGGACAGGTGGCCGGGCCTGGCAGGAACAATGGGGGGCCGAGGCTGCCCCCTGGCGCTCACCTACCTCCGGTGCCCTCCGAGTTCTCGTTGAGGCTGCCCGAGGAGTCGTGCTGGGCGCCTACACACCCGCCCATGGGGGCCCCGGCACCTCGTCCGCCACCTCCGGGCGTTCGCGTCCGGGCCCGCCGCCGCCTCAGACTCCTCCGGCGCCG